TCATCCACCTACTCTCCTTTCTTTCTATTTTGTATTCTGTTGTTTCTTAAGTTATGAGGTTTTAACAAGTCATAGCAGTGAGCTGACATTAACAGACAACGGCCTGTGCGTGCTCACAGACAAAGATAGCTTTTATGTAATAACAAGTCCTCCAGACTCACTGTAAAAGCTATTCGACATTAGGAGACTGCATCCTGCAAAACCTTAAACTTTCTGACACTGACAAGCTGATGTTCTCCCCAACAAGTCAGCTGGGCACTTAATGAGCACTTGATTATTTAAGTCATTTAACAGTCACTGGTTCCAACTTCTCTCATGATGGTTTTCTGCTTTTCTTTGTAAACTGGAGATCTTTAGATTTTGGACTGCTGTTCACATAACACAAGACGTCCTGGACTCGCTGATAAGCAACTTTACTGCTGGTACTGACTGATTAAAAAAGTTTCTCTTTACTCAGCACCTTATGAATTTCACTTCATTGATAATATCAGTTCTCTTTTGAATTGTGAAGTTCCTTCTTTCCTCATCTCTTTTTGTTGAGTGAAAGTAAAGATTAGACATGAAAGCAGACTAGTGACAGGTCCAGTTACTGTGTGAGAATACACACTCACAGCCACACATACTGTGTGAGGCTGATAACAGAAATCAAACTTCTTTACTCTGAGCTCTTTCTTTCCTGAATTATCTCCGTTTTTTTAACCCTCATCCTCACTGGAGACGTGCCGATTCCTCCCACATTTTTGGCTCTCACCACCATGAGCCCTGTGAAGGACAGCGTCACATCAATGTGTTTAACTGAAGCTGCGTTCAGCAGTAAATCTGACAGCAGAGCACATCAAGTAGTGGAGGTAATTACCTCTATTTGGCAGCTCCGACGCACACAACAGGCTGAGTGGATTGGAGGGATTTCAGCATCATTGTGATGCTGCTGAACAAAATGCAAATCACTTCAGCCCCAAGACATTCTCCCATTTGAACTACTCAACGTGTGTCTCTGTGGATTTTTCTCTATAATGTAGTGAAATACTGAGTTAGACCAGGGTTTCAGGCAGCCTACTTAGATGAAACCGATTTATTAAATTCTCAAATAAAAGATGGTTAAGTCGGGGACGGGATACCTGGTCTGATTACACAAATAAGAGATGAGGGGGGAAATGGGGATGGGGTGTACAGTATGATGCATTGTACTACCCTGCTGAAGCATCATTACCATGAGTTCCTCAGCAGATTCATGTCCTATCATCTCTCTCTCCAAGAATGTAAAGGCACATATAACTCGATGGTTAATACAACTTGATCCTTATTTTGTTGTTTTGGTCATTACACCTTTCAGCTATGATGATTAGGTCTCACCTAATTAAATTAGATCTAAGAGCAAGAAGGAAACGATGGCGTAAGAGCAGAAAACTATTTGGACCAAAGTATAATATGTACATTTTAATCTATACAAACATGTCCTGTTGCATTTGCAAACGTTTATGACGCTGATCCATTTTTCATACTAACACAACAGCATGTTATATGGGTGGGGAAATCTTTGATAATTCATTTAAAGTGATCATTTTTCCAACCGTGCACGTATTATGCATGGCTTAACATGACCTTCTCTGCAGTTTTGCTTCTCCTGTCTCATGCTGTCTGGTCCAGCTGTTGCTCCTACGTGTGCTCTGTATCATACAGCGTTGGTGGTGGTAGCTTATGAAAGACCTTCTGTTTTTAAGTATATGTCATCTAAATGCAAGCGTTGCTACTACAATTTATTATGCAGCCCCACCCCACTGTGCTGACAGAGTCCAGCCTCTGTATAAGGTCAGAAAGAAATCTTCAAGAAATGTTCCTGACCCAACATCCACATGTAATTATACATGCAAATTCAATGTGCCCAGTTACAGTGTGTCATCTCACACCTATGTGCTTTTTAACATCTCATCTAAATTAGGTTTGTTAAATCAATCTGATCCCACTGTGCACTGACAGATATTTCTGAAATTAACTACCACCCAAAACTAGATGTCCCAAAAAATGCTACAGCACAACTTGAGCTTTAGTGAAAAGCAAAGTTATAAAAGTCGATCTAATTATGAGCATCTGGATCGGAGCGTCTCCTTGTTATAGTGTGAGAGGAGAGTTTCACACTGACAGTCCAGTTTGAGAAAAAAGCTGCAGCTGCTGCTCGTATTATTTCTTTATCTTCTTCTTCTTTACCTTCTTACCTTCTGTACCTACCTATGTATGTACATGTTTGCACAACCTATTGTATGTAAGCACAAAAATACTCTAAAAGCAGATTTGAGCCTTTTTAAAGAGGAAGGGCTTAAATTAAAGGGGGGGGACATGATATGAATGCATAACAACTCTGGCTGCGCTCCAGTTTGCCACACGGTTCCTTATCCACAGGCTGTGAGTGGTCGTGGGCGAATTGAAGAGAGTGTGAACTGTAAATGATGCAGCTGCCATCAGCATATCAGTTAGCACAACATATTGTACCTGCACCTTGGATCAAGGCCTGGTGATTCCCTGCAAGTCTGATCCATAAACATTACACAACGCTACTAACCAGAGCCCTTAAGTAAAGTACAAGTTAACTGCTTCAGTTATTGTACAGCATTTGTATGTGTGTCTGTGAGAAAGGGAGCAAGGCTGTGTTTTGAACAATGTGGCAACAGAGAATAATTAATAGTCATATTACCGTAATTAAAATGTAGCAGCCAGAAATATAAACTTTTAAGTGGCATAAAATCCTTACAGCCCTAAATAAAAAACACTGGCAGTATGTTTCATGACAGACACTGAGTTTGTATAAACAGGTGTTTTCAGGGTTTCTTCTGACTGGAATCATAAAAACCTCAATTTGGGATAAAAATCAACAGTTGATAACAGGTAGAAACTCAAATAAAAAGCTTATTTAGAAATTGTTTTCATTGAATCTCTGATACCAAAATAGGAGCAGCCCTCACAAAATTAAACAGTAGAGGGATAAAGAAAAATACACAAGTGCATAAATGAATTAAAGCAGAGTAAAACCCATAAACAGGCAACAATCAAGCACAGAGTTACTGTAAGTCTTAACCTAAAGCCACAGATGCACCATAACTCACAGTAAGCCAACAGAGTTTGCATCAGTGACTGGTCACTTACCCTGTGGGTCTCTACAGCCTCCTGCTTCACACACACACACACAACATGTGACAGCTGACAGTCAGCGGAGCTACAGATCTACAGCCTTCCTCATCAACACTTCACTGAGCACAAGGTGCATCGCGCTGCAAACCGGCCTGATTGACACATATGGACAAGTATGTAATCCACCTTTTGATGCACAAGACGAGTCAAAAATGACTCACATTCATTTTCACTAATGGTTCATTGTAATATCTTTAAAGCTAATTTATGTCACTGCCTAGGACTTTAGTCATTATTTTATTTTGCCATGATTCTAAACAGATGTGGCAGAAACACACAACACAGTGTTTTCAAATGGATGCCAAGTCATATTCTTAAGCAAGTGTATTCTATATCGTTACCGTACATTTAATTGGTAGATGACAACATGTTGCTTCCAAGTGTTTTAGAAACATTTTTTCTGTCAGATACCAGATAAAGTCCCATTGGTCAGCAACTAGCTCGCTAAGACACAACCGATCAACAGCTAGTCAGCCACGAACCAACAGCTCAAGATATCAGTACTGATGTAAACATACAACGGAAAGTAACTAAGTACAATTACTCAAGTACTGTATTTAAGTACACTTTTGAGGGATCCGTACTTTACTTTACTACATTTCACAGGCAAATATTGTACTTTTTACTGCACCGCATCACTTTTCAAAATACAATTTAATCTTGCATTATTGAACCCTGGTGGGAAATTCACAGTAGTATGTAAAGTACTTCACATTGTAAGTATTATATATAAGGTACATTAGCTGCATCTTTACCAGCTGCAACATTCAGGTGATGAACACAGTAATCCATCAGTGATTATTATCCAATAATCTGATTTACTGTACAGTAATGTGAAATGTGCCATTCTGATTAATGAGTACTTTTACTTTTGGCACTTTAATTTGATGCTGATACTTTTGTACCTTTACTTCAATAAGATTGGAGTATTTTTACACTGTGGTATTGCTACTCTTACTTAGGTAAACAATCGGAGTACTTCTTCCACCACTGATACTATTACCACAACCATAAGCAAATTTACAGAATGATGCACATGTGTATGCACAGATGTGTTAAGGCAGCCCTCTAGACAGGGGAAACTGTGACTCTGAGCTGAATAAACCGCGATTAAACATGTTTTTAATCACAAATATATAGACAAATTAAAATGTCCTTGTCAATTCCACTGAAAATACATACGGGTCATTTTTATGGTCTTGTGCATTAACAGGGTACTGATACAAAAATGTTTTTTATTCAAAAATAAAATTAAGTAACATAAAAATAATTGATTGTGATGTAAAAAAAATATCTTGATGAATCCATTAAATATGGAGTGATAACATTCATCACATGCAAGGATATTAATCGAAATAATTCGCTCGGGTCACTTTTGGCGCATCAGGGGGTTAAAGAAAGATCGATATGAATGGGGATAATGGAAGCCCATGCATGACATCATACACCACAATGTTTCTTTTACTAGTTTTACACAGCAAAATCAAACTCTGGCAGTAGAATCTGTTATTAAAGGTTAGGAGATGTAAAGGGACAAACAAATACCATCACATACAGCAACGTTACCACAGGCTCGACCTAACGACGAAGACATGGCATTAAGTGATGTGGGAAAACTCATGTGTGAGCACCACAAACTTCAAATAGCAGGATTAGAAGAACATTTACTGATCTTTCAGTTGAGGAAAGTCACACTTCCTGTGGTTTGTGAGCGTCACCTTATGTGCAGAGGTCAACTGCTCACACCAGACTATAACGCGCTGGAAACCTCGAAAGTAGGCAAATAATATGCGACAATAAAGGCAAATTGAACTCACCATTTCGCCGTGGAAACGCTGGGTCCTGAAAGCATGTCACGACTCTAAATCCCCATGGGCCAAAATCACATTGTTCTTCAGTCCGAGCTCAGCGGAACAATGATTGCTGACCGTAACCAAGAGAAGGGACAGTAGCCCGAGGCTGCGGCTGTCACTCGGGGCGCAGCGGATACAAGCGTGATGTGGAGAAGTGTCCGTGCGCAAAAAGCAGCCAGGAGCGACGAGAAGTGCGTGCCTGTACACACCTGGGGAAACTGTGGGGAGAGGGAGAGACAGGGAAAGTGGGGAAACCTCGTGGAGATCCAGCTTTTTTTTTAACCCCACACAGGTATTTGGAAAGAGGGCAGGGTCTGACCGGAGCCGAGTCAGCAGCGGAGATGTTGCGTTATGCTGCTCCCTCTGAACTCAGCGGACATGAACTCGCTCTGGTCTAGTCCCTCCTCTTCAGCCGCGATGTGAACGAAGAGTCCGTCTCTCTCTCTCTCTCTCGTCATTGTAACTCTACGTTTGTCTGGTGATGAGCCCTTGTTTGTGCTGCTGATGGAGTAAGAGGTGTGATTCTGTGGGTCACAGGGGCACAGAGAAGTTTTCAGTTTTGATCCTTTGAAAGTGACAGTATTTGGATTATTTTAAATGGCTTCAGGTCTATGTGCCACACGAGACCTTTGTGGCCTCACTGTTGGAGGGTGGGTCGCAGCTGAGCATGGACAGGTGTGGCCTCTTTTGAGCACACCCAGCCGTGATGCATTGTTGCGCTACAGTGCAGGGTGACGTGCGTGTTGTGACAATGTGTGCAGCCGCCGCTAGGGGGCAGTGCAGGCAGAATTACTGGGTTGGATGTAGCTACTCCTGAAAGGGTCAAACTAGCAAAATGACCAAATAAGCATATTGAATATGCTTATTTAATAGAAGGGATAATTTCACATCATCCCTGAGTAGCTTTAAGGCTACACATGTACAGCGCCTTTCAAATTTCTTTGATGAGGTTTCAGCGCCCACCAGCCCCAACAGATATGTCATTCATGAGTCCAGTGGTTTAGGGGTTAAAGTGCCGTCCATAATGTCCCTGTTTGAATCCAGATGGGAAACTTTGTTGTAGTTGTCTGTCACTTCTAATTGGTTAGAGTATCATTTCTTGTATAATTGCAGCGATTGTGATTATTTTAGTTGGTATTTGCACTATGAAAGTTGTGTTTATCAGTCCGAGAAGTTTACAGTACATTACATATTGTCGGGGTCGCTCCGTTTTACCTGCCCTCTCTCTCCTCCACACACCTGCCAGCTATCCTTATTATCACCACCTGTTGTCACTCCTGCAATCACCCGTCTCCTATAACTACCCTGTCGTCCTACTGGTTCACTGCCAGTTTGTTTTTGTTCCCACACAGACTCCTAGTGCCGTTCAACCTAACCTGAGACTGTCTTTATGTGTG